AAACACAGGGAATCCAGAACAGATGACTTCTTCAGGACCAGTGGTGAGTGGCGATGCCTGGAGGGTGGAGGGAATGTGGGGTAGAAAGGGGGAACCGACTACAAGAATCTACATATAGCCTCCTCCCTGGGGGATGGACAGCAGAGAAGAGGGTGGGGGACATGTCGGGCAGTGTAACATATGACAAAATAATAATTTATGCATTCTGAGGGTTCATGATGGAGTGGGGAGGGTGGGAGGAAAATGAGCAGCCAATATTAAGGGCTCAAGTAGAAGGCAAATGTGAGAATGATGATGGCGACAAATGTACATATGTGCTTGACACAATGGATGTATATGTGGATTGTGATAAGAATTGTATGAGCCCCCAAAAAATGATTTAAAAAAAAAAAGAAAAATGATTTTGTTGTGCAATAGTAAAACTGCTTGTAGGAACTTTTAAAAAAATCATTTAAAAATTGCTACTACAATCAGTACCAATTTGAACTCCTTGATATCATCTCCCTAAAAAAGCGACATTAAAAATCATTTTATTGGGGGCTCATACAACTCTTATCACAATCCATACATACATCAATTGTGTAAAGCACATTTGTACATTCTTTGCCTTCATCATTCTCAGAACATTTGCTCTTCACTTAAGCCCTTGGCATCAAAAACTACATTTTTTAGAGTAGTTCCAGATATAGTAGTTTGGGTAGTCTAAGAATCGATGTGTACTACAAAAACTCTGCTCCGCCCAGCACAATTCCATTTTTGGGGGTACCCCCTTGTACTTCTCATCCAATTAGAATGTGGAACATAAACTTCACTCACTATCTTATGCCAGCTGACTGAGTTGTTCCACGAGCCTGGTCTTAACCTTGTAAACCAATCCTGCAAAGTGCTTAATATGTGCCTGTTAATGCCCTCTCTTTCTTTTTTTTTTTTGCCCTCTCTTTCTATGTACTTTATTGTATATGTAGATGTATGTACTTACATAGATGGATACCTGCATATAAATATATGCAGTATGTGCCCGCCTACATTCACACATGTGTATTGCTATACACTTGCATGCATACACACTTACACGTGTGTCCCACTATTGTTACTGCACAGTTGTACTGTCCCACTATTGTTACTGCACACATTGACCAAAAATATCCTTTTTTCCTCATGTACTTCTTAGTGATGTAATTTACTTTGATGTTATTTTCCCTGTCCCCTAAAATGACAAATGTCTGCCATCTAAGAGAGTGATCTCCCCCCCTTTCACTTATCCCTAGTATCCACCAGTGAACATGGGTTTCACTATGTATACTCATCAAGTGACTCATACATTACTTACCCTTTTGTGTTTGACCTATTTCACTCAGCACAATCTTTTCCAGGTCTGTCCACCTTACATTTTGAGCGTGCATCGTGAGAGCTGCCTAGTATTCTACGTATGGGCCACTTAAGTAGTTATCATCTTTTTGCTCTTGTGAATGGTGCTGCTCTGAGCAAAGGTTTGCATGTGTCTGATTGTGTCGTTATTGTTAGCTCCGTTGAGCAGATACCTAGCGGTGGTTTTTGAGAAAGCCACATACTGGTTTCTGTTACGGCTGTACCATTTTATAACCCCAGCCCACCAGCAGTGGATAATGGTTTCAGTCTCTACACACCCATGCCGGCATTTGTTGCTTTCTGATTTGTTTGGTTGTCTGTTCGCTTTATTCAGCGCTAATTTTGTTAGGATGAGATAGAATCTCATTGTAGTGTAGTTTTGATTTGCATGTTTGCAAGCATCTTTCTATTTGTGTTAGCCACTTGAATGCCTTCTTTGGTGAAATATCTCTTCATGTCATTGACCCATTTTTTAACTGGAGTTTTTTCTTGTTGAAATTCTCTTCATATTTTAGAAATTAGACCCTTATCAGATATGTTTTTCCAAAAGTTTTTTTCCCAAAGGTATAGGCTCTCGTTACTCTTTTATAGTCTTCTGATGAGCATACGTATTTAATTTCTAGTAAGTTCCAGTGATCTAATTTGACGCTGATGTTTGTGCACTGACTTGTATTTGATAATTTACTTTAGGTCTTTGATCCATTTTACGTTCTCTTTGGGTCCTGTTTTATTTTTCTGCTAGCCTATTTATTAAAGAGATTGCTTTTTCTACATTTAATGGATTTTGACTCTTGTCGATATCTGTTGCCCATAGATGGATTTACTTCCAAATTCTCAATCCTGTTCCCTTGGTTCATGTGTCTGTCAGTACCAGGCCATTTTGATTACTATGACTGTATAATGTTTGTTGAGATTGGGGAAGGACACTGTCTTTATTAATTTTTAATTTGTTGATTAATTTCATTTTGGGGAACTGCACAAAAACAACTCACTAATTCCACAATTTCTATATAATTCAGTGATAATAATGATTTTCTTCATATTGTACAATCATCGTTTTTCCTTTTTCAAGTAATTCCACCATCATTAACTTAAAACTAACCAAGGACAGATTTTAGTAGAGGGGAATGCCTGCATGGTAATGTACATTTCATGCATGGCGTTACCTTACTAAATAGGACTTTTTAACAAGATGGTGACTTTGACAACAAGTTATGGTTGAATGGACAAAGCATGGAACAGTATTTTTCATTTTTCCAGGAAAACCTCAAATACATTCTGGAGGAGAGATACCATCACTGCCGCTAGGCATCCACCCTGCAAAAGCAGGGGCCCAGCCTAGGAAATCACCCCAACCAGGTGTCTGTGACTCTTCTCAAGAAAAGCCACCCAAGACTCCAGCTCCCCAAGCTGAGGAAGAGAGAGAGGATGGTGGGCTCTTCATCCCAATGGGTAGGCTTTCTTTTTATTCTATCTTTAATTTTTACAAAAAGAAAAAAACCGTTTTTGAAGTAGAATATACAGAAAACTATTTATTTGAAGTATACGGTTCATGGAATTTTCATAAGTGGAAGATACGTAGGCATCGGCAGATGAAGAAATAAAACATTACAGTACCCCAGAAGTCACTTTTGCATTCAGTTTCAATTATTATCTAACTCACCCATGAGTAATCACTGTCCTGACTGCTAGCAGCAGTTTGGTTCACCTCCTTTGTATTGTATTTGAATAGAATCATATGTATGCTCTTTTGTGAGTTGCTTTTTTGAATTAACTTTGTATTTATGCAATTTATCCATATTGTTGCATGTAGTGATAGATTGTTTACGTTTGTTCCTGAGTATATTCCATTGCTTAAATAGTCTATATCTTCTTTATTCAATCACCTCTTGATGGACATTTTGATAGTGTCCAGTTGTGGGCTCCTCTGAAAGGAATAGTGCTGCTAACATTTTGCCATAGCTCTTGGTTAACTTGTGTCCTTAAATTCTGTTGTGGCATTACCAGTCGATAGAGTTAGGCCTCAAAATTAAAATTTAAATATTTCTAAATACAACACATACAGAAAAGCACATAGACAGTTTTCTAAAATTTAACAAGTGCTTTTTTATAGATGCATTTTAGCAGATTAAGGCGCATTCCTTTCCCTAGTTTTCTGAGAGTTTTATCATATATTTAGTTTTGTTAAATGTTTTTTTCCCCGTGTTCATATATGGTAAATTACATTGATTTTAGTTTGTCAGATTTATTGAAGCATATATTACATCCAAAAAAATGTATCCAATTAGTTTCCAGAAATGTTGGGGAGCTAATAACAAGGAATACAAGAAATAAGAAAATGTTCTAAAATTGATGAATGTACAACTCTTGATATGATTGAACTATTGAATTGTGATATATGGATTATGTACCAATAAAACTGATCATTTAAAAAAATGTATATTGCCATGTAACTAGCACTACAAACAAGATGTAAAACATTTCTGTCACTCAAAAGTTCTATCATGCCCTTAGCTGCCCTCTCTCTTTGACCCTTAGCAACTATTGATCTCATGTCTGTGCCTATGGTTTTGCCCTTTTTGTACAGTTATGTAGGTGGAATTGTTTTTTACACATCTAGTTTCTTTGACTTCACACACTGGTCCTGAAATTTCTTTTTTTTACTGTAGAATAGTATTCTATATAGAATATAGAGTAGATATACCACAATTTGTTTGTCTATCCACTAGTTGATAGACATTTGGGTTAATTCCTGTCTTTAGCTATTATAATAAAGATTCTATAAACATTCACATAGAGGTCTTTGATGGAAGTTTTCATGTCTCTTGTGTGCGTATTTAATGGTGGGATTTCCGAGTCATGGTAAATGTCTGAGTCATATGGTAAACTTTATAGGAAATTGCCAAGCTGTTTTCTATAGTGGTTGTACTATTTTACATCCCTATCAGTCATCTGTAAGAGTTCTATCTGCATCCTCAATAGCAGTTTCAATCATTTTAATTTTAATGATTCTAGTGGGTGTGTTTGTGGTAGTTAGCTGTGATTTTAAACAGCATTTCTCTAATGAGTAATGGTACTGATTTTTTTCCCTTTCTCTCTCTCTCTTTTTTTATATCCTTTTATTAGGAGCTCATACAATTCTTATCACAATCCATATATACATCAGTTGTGTAAAGCACATTTGTACATTCATTGCCCTCATCGTTCTCAAAACATTTGCTCTCCACCTAAGCCCCTGGCATCAGCTTCTCAAATTTTTCCCTCCCTCCCTCATGAACCCTTGATAATTATAAATTATTATTTTGTCATATCTTGGATACGGATTTTTTTTAAAGTTGAGTTTATCCAGTTTTTCCTTTAAAGTCCATGCTTTTTAATCTAGGAAATCTGCCTCCCTCAAATTTGTAAAACTTTCTTTGTGGTCAACAATCCATTTAAAGCTAATTTTTATATGTAGCATGAGGTAAGGGTTGAGTTTCATATTTTTAGATGTGAATGTTAAGTTACTATTTGTTGAATTTCCTAATAGAATTGCTTTGATAACTTTGTTGAAATCAGTTGTCCGTTTATGTGTGCATCTGCTTCAGATTCTACTCTGCTTTGGCCCTTTTTAAAATGGACTGTTTATTTTAGATTTACAGAGAAGTTGCAGTAATAATGTAGAGAATTCCCACATGTCCATCCAGTGTTACTGATTGTAAACATTTTGCAAAATGGTAAATCAATGATCAAAACTAAGAAATTAACATTTGTACCATACCAAAATTACAAACTAGATTTCACACTTTTTTTTCCTGTTCTAGGATCTAACATTTCATTCAATTGTTTTACTCCTTAGTCTCTTCCAGTCTGTCATAGTTATCAGTCTTGTTATTTAGGACTTGGACACTTTCGTATTTGTGGTATGTAGCTTTCCTTTTTTATTATTTTTGTCTGACTTTGCTATGAGGGAATGCGACCTCATTCAATGAGTTGTGATTATGTGAACTGGTATTATTTCTTCCTTGAGTGTCTCTTCGAAATATACCAGTAAAGTCATTTGGAATTTTTTTTATAGGGAGATTTTTAACGCTGAATTCAATTTTTTTAGTAGATTTGGTTATTTCTTCTTCAGTGACCTTTAGACATTTGCTCTTTTTCTTCTAATACTGGTAATTTGTGTCTTCTCTTTTTCTTTTGATTATTGATATTTTTGGCTACAGGCTTCTCAAAGTGGTTGGTCTTCATAAAAGACAAGCTTTTGATTTCTTTAATAGTCTATTTAATTGATTGTTGCCCTTGTCTGTATTTTTTTCTGTTTGCTAACTTTTAGTTTAGTCATCTTTTCTAGTTTCATAACATGGAAGTTTATATTACTGATGTGAGATCATTTTAGTTTTCTAGATAATAATACTTAGTGTATCTTTTTTTTTTAAGCTTAAGCTGTGCTCCATGGTATTGATGTATTATTTTTACTAATACTCAGCTCACAATATTTTCTAATTTCCTTTGTATTTCTTTTTTTTGTTGTTGCTTTACTTTTATTTATTTATTTTTAATCATTTTATTAGGGGTTCATACAACTCTTATCACAATCCCTTTGTATTTCTTTTCACCCATGGATTACTTTGATGTACGTTGTTTAATTCCAGATAATTATTTTCCAACTATCTTTGCTACTAATTTCTAATTTAATTACCTTGAAGTCAGATCATACTTTGCACTTGATTATTATTTTTTACTTTGTATTATTTTAGTCCTTTTACATACTGAGATGTTTTCCTCTCCATGACCCAGAATTTTGTCTATCTTGCTAATTCTTCCATGTTCATTTGAAAAGAAATGTACTATTTTTTTGATACCATTTTATAAATGATAGCTTTGTATCTCCTTTCAGATTTATCAGTTTTAGCTCTGTATATTTTGAAGCTCTGCTTTTAGGGCATATACCTTGATTGATTGATTGATTTTAGCTACTAAAGCAGCTTTTCTGCAATAAGCCTGTTAAGACAGATTACTTAGAAAACACACATATAACTAAAGAAGTATTATAATAGAATCATGGAAACCTCTATTAAACAGAAATATCAAAATATGAAATGCTGACATAATCCATCTAGATCTGTACAATTCTTTTTTTAAAAATCATTTTATTGGGGTTCTTACAGTTTTTAAAAAAAATAATTTTATTTTATTTTATTTCTTTTGAAGATTTCTTTTATGTTGTTTTTAATCATTTTTGGGGGTGCTTGTACAACTCATCACTATCCGTACATCCATCCATTGTGTCAAGCACATTTGTACGTTTGTTGCCATCATCATTCTCAAAACATTTGCTTTCTACTTGAGCCCTTGATATTAGTTCTCCCCCCCTCCCCCCATGAACCCTTGATAATCCTTAAATTATTATTTTTTTCATGTCTTACACTGACTGCTGTCTCCCTTCACCCACTTTTCTGCCGTCTGTCAGAAAACCCCCCGGGAGGGGGTTATATATATATAGATCATCGTGATCGGTTCCCTACTTCTCCCCCCACCTTCACCTTCCCTCCTGCTATTGCTACTCTCGTTATTGGTCCTGAGGGTTTATCTGCCGTGGATTCCCTTTGTGGAGAGCTTTTATCTTTACCAGTGTACATGCTCTGGTCTAGCTGGATTTGTAAAGTAGAATTGGGGTCATGATAGTGGAGGGGCAGGAAGCATTAAAGAATTAGAGCAGGTTCTCAGCCTTTGGGTTGTGACCCCTTTGGGGGTCGAATGACCTTTTCACAGGGGGCACCTGAGTCATACAGTAAGAAAATTACAGTTAGGAAGCCACAGTGAAAATAATTTTATGGTTGGGGGGAGGGTCATCATAACATGAGGAACTATATTAAAGGGTCGTGGCATTAGGAAGGCTAAAAACCATTGAACAAGAGGAAAGTTGTATTTTTTGTAGGTACTATACTGCACCCTGACTGGATCGTCTCTTCCTTGTTACCCTTACGTAAGGGGATGTCCACTTGTCTGCAGATGGGCTTTGGGTCTCCACTCCGCTCTCCCTCTCATTCACAAATATATGCTTTTTTGTTTTGGGTCTTTGATGACTGATACCTGATCCTATCAATACCTCAAGGTCACACAGGCTGATGTGCTTCTTCCATCTGGGCTTTATTGTTTCTCAGTTAAATGGCCACTTGTTTATCTTCAAGTCTTTAAAACCCCGGATGCTGTATCTTTTGATAGCCAGGGACCATCAGCTTTCTTGACAATATTTGCTTATGCACCCATTTTGCCTTCAGCGATCCTATAAGGGAAGGTGAGTATCACAGAATGCCAGGTTATTAGACAAAGTGTTCTTGCTTCGAGGGAGTACTTGAGTGGAGGCCCAATATCCATCTGCTGCCTTAATACTTAACAAATAAATATGTGTACATAGAGCTATTTCCCTATCATTATATATACCATATATACTCGAGTGTAAGCCGAGTTTT